AGGACATAACGTCCGAGCCGATCAAAGGTATATTTTGTGAGAATTTTACACGTGAAATACATTATAAATATATGTTACAATATATACATTATATATCATACATACACGCATATATATATTACATGTATGTATACAAAATTACATACATAAAATTAATATATATTAATAATTAATGTATATTACATAATTAATATATATTATACATATTAAATATACAATGGATATATATATATAAATATAATATATTAAATTTATAAATATATTTATATAATAATGTAATATTGTATTACATTGTATATATAATTAATATATAAAATTATAACATATGTATATAAATACGGTAAAAGAAACTTATCTTCTGGTGGCAGTGTGTTCAAAGAGCGGCGCCGAGGTGGAGAACGACACTGCTCCGCCGTCGTCGTCGTTGTTGAGCATCGGGGAACCGTACCTGGAGGCTCGCGGTATCGCAGCGGGCAGCATAGACATGCGCGAGTTCGTGAATGAGTCCTCGTCCTCGTACTCGAAGACCTCGGTCCCTGTCGGCGGCAGGTTCCTTCCGGAGATCCGCATCGATCACACGGACGACATAAATCTGGAGAACTACAGCACCAGCCCGCGAAAGTACCAGGAAGCCATCGTGTTCGACGGCGTGTTCTCGCCCCGGCCTCCGTTGCACTGCGTGAACGAGAGCTACAGCGGCAGCGAGTGCTGCGGGTTCCGGGAGTTCGGTAAATACAGGGAGTCGCAGGGGCAGATTTTCGTCGCGCACAATCCGTCGCCGGAGAGCTCGGCGAAGGTTCTCTGCAGCGCCGACGTTGAGTCGCGGCTGAGCGGTATGCCGGACGTGACCCTGGCCGTGAAGAACGACGTCGAGCTGCTGTCGGCGACGGAACTGAAGAGCAGGGAACACGTGAACGTCATCCCCGACATCGCCAACACCACGGAACGTAAACAACCGGACGGGGAGGAGAAGGCACCGGAGATCGTGATCACGAATTGCGAGGCCACTGCGAGTGGTATGCTGGATCGTATCGCGCATGATCTCGACTATTTGTTGAATCGTACCCACTCCTCCGATGGGACGTAAATTTTTGGAAGGAAACGAAAGATCCGTAGGAGATTGATTCGCAGCTCAAGATTGCGGACTGGCAAGCATACTCTCTCGCCATAACGTTAAGTTCATCTACATATTTAATACACGGTACTTAACGATGTCCTTAGGAGAAATAAGTAAGAATTGTTTGAAGGAAATCGAATTAGCCCAAGCACGACAGTTGTAGCACAGTGCTGTTCAGAATAAATCTTTGTTATTATAACGTAGAAACGATGAGTGAGGATTATGTGTTGTGAAACAACACACAGGGAAAGAGAAGGAATGCACGGACTGAGCAGCGCTAACTGCAACTAAACTAACAATGCAAAAAGTCAATCTCTCTCT